GGGGGAGGGGGGAAAGGGGGGGGAGGAGGGAGGGGGAGGGGGTGGGGGAGGAGGAGGAGGAGGATTGAAGAGGCAGGGAGCAGGAGAAGGCGGAGGAGGCGGAGGAGGGAGAAGGAGGCGGTGGAGGGGGAGGAGCGGAGGAGGAGGAGGAGGGGAGGAGGAGGAGAGGAGGAGGAGGAGGAGGAGGAGGAGGAGGGGGAGGAGGAGGAGGTGGGGGAGAGGGGAGGAGGGGAGGAGGGGGAGGAGGGAGGAGGAGGAGGAGGGGGGAGGAGGGGGGAGGAGGGGGAAGGAGGGGGGAGGAGGGGGGGAGAGGGGGGGAGGGAGGGGGAGGGGGAGGGGGGAGGGGGAGGAGGAGGGGGAGGGGAGGGGGGGAGGAGGAGGAGGAGGGGGGGAGGAGGAGGGAGGAGGATTGAAGAGGCAGGGGGCAGCGGACTCCGAAGCCCGCCGCGCCCCCCCCCCGAAGCTAGCGCGGCGCCCCCCTGCCATGGTGGCCGACCCCCCCGCCGGCCATGGCGGGCGGCGCTGCCGCGCCCCGGTGGGCGCTCTGGGGGGCCCTGTGCTCGGCGGCGGCCCTGGCGGCCGAGGCCCTCCGCCAGCGCCGCGGCCGCCCTCGAGGAAGAGCGAGCCGCATGCCCCGAATGTCACAATACGGTCGGGCCGAGGTATTAATAGTCAGGGGCAACGATACGAGGGGACACTCCGGGTTTCTCAATAAGCGTGAGGGGGTACCCCCCCCCCGCGACGGGGGGCGGAGCGCCTTCGGCGCGCGGCGGCTGCCCGCGACGGGGGTCGATGTGGGTCTGTCGGCGGGGGTGACGCTCCCCCGACGCTGATTAAGAAACTCGAAGTAGACATAATTGTTTGGGGGGGCGCATCGCCCACTGATCGCCGAGAGGGGCCCAGCAGCCCCAGCCTGTCCAGGAAGGTGCGGATTCACTGTCGGGGGCCTCTCGCCGACCTATCGGCGAGGTATCGCCGATTCCAGGTCGATGCTTCCCCCACCTCTAGCCCCCCCGATCGTTACCCCTCATATAAGATCGAGGTCGGTTTGGGAAGGGTACCCTCGCGTTCTTCGTGTTCGTTGGATATTAGATTGCATCATGGGGTGGGGGTACCTCTGGGTGCTCTGTGCGTTTTGTGGCCGGCACAGGGTCTCGTGTTCTCGAGGGATGCTCTTCTGGCCCAGGCCCGACTGGAGGAAAGGAGGAGGAGGAGAAGGAGGAGGATGCTCTTCTGTGAAAGGGGTGGGGGTCACAAACCTTCCAGACGGGCCATGGCAGATCCTCCTCCTCCGAGGGCGCCCTTCTGCCCAGGCACCCCGGAGCCCTCCAGGACAGCTCACATCAGGCCCCCTTCCCAAGTCAGACCGCCCCCCTTTCCTGCGATTTGCTGAGTGAACATGCCCATCGGTCGCTGAAAGCAGGTATTTTCTTGGATCCCCAGAACCCCATCTACTTCAAGCGCCTGCCTACTTCGGGGATCGATCTGCTGTTGCTGCGCCGTGCTGCTCTCGGGGCGGGCCCGAGCCCAGACTTCCTCGCTCTCCTCCTTCCCGTTTCTCCCTGCTGCTTCCGACCGACGGGCGTGTCTTCGGCGGGAGACGGCGGAGAGGGGTGGGCGGCAGTCCGGGGAGAGGGGGTGCGGAACAAGAAGCTCAGGAGGGAAAAAAACACACAGACACAGTGAATCGTCGATCCCCAGGAAAATGTGGGAAAATATGGGAAGTGGGGGGGAAGACAAAAACCAAGAAAATATACGTAGGAAAAGATGGGGAATCTGTTTATTTGTGTGTATTTCTTTGTGTGTCCCAGGGCCCCTTCAGAAGCGCACAAGTGTTCGGAGTTCCGCCCGGATCCGCTCGGTCTGCGCCTGGCCCCCCTGTGGCGGCGCCTCCCGCGCCACCCCTGGCGCACCCCGCGCGCCAGGAAGGGGGGGTCCAGCGCAGAATTGCAAAAAAACCCAGGATTGCAACAAAAAAGCAAGGATTGCAGGGTTGTTTTGCAATCCTTGGGTTTTTTTTTGGCAATCCTTCGGTTTTTTTGCAATCCTTCGCCTCCCGCGCCACCCTTGGCGCACCCCGCGCGCCAGGGAGGGGGGGTCCAGCGCAGATCAACGGCATCCGCGCGAAGCTCCGAAAGTTTTTTTTTTTGGGGGGGGGGGGGTGCCCCCAGTTCCTCAGGTTTGCTCAGGTTCCTCAGGTTTGCTCAAATGCCGGCGTGCCGAATGCATGCTGCCAGTTCCTCAGGTTTGCTCAAATGCGTACCAAATACATGCTGTCGTGTCCAAGCCTGCCGTCGTAGCCGCCGGAGCTCCGAAAGTTGATCAGGTTCAGGAGGGAAAGATGCACACAAGCACAAATAGTCGTCGACTCCCAGAAAACATATGGGACAGTGGAAAACGAAAGTCGAGAAGATGTTATAAGATATGGGGTACCTAGGGATTTGTGCATCATTCACGCTTCGCGCATCCCCGCCAGCCCATTCAGATACCCTGACCTTGAGAGCTGACGGGAAAAGAAGCGAAGAGACACATCTAGTCAATCAAAGCGAGCAACCAGGGAGAACAGAGAGATCTCTGGGAGCAAGAGGGTGGCCTTGGAAAGCCTCTTAGACCCCTCTTGGAGCTCTGTTGCGCCATCTTGGGACTCGGTGCCCTCTTGGGGCTATGTTGATGGGTATTGGAGTTCTCTTGTTGCTCTTTTGAGGGGTCTTGGGGCGCTCTTGGGGCCCTCTTGGGGCCCTCTTGGAGCTCTCCTGGGGCTCTCTTGGGGGCCTCTTGGAAGCCCTGGAGGGCCTGATGGGGCTGTCGTGGAGGGCGTCTGTGAAAAGAGGGTGGTACTGACGTTTAGTCACCCCTTCTGGGCCATCAATCTAGCATCTCGGGACGCTCTCGGGGCGCTCTTGGGCGGTCGTGGGGACGTCTTGGGAGGCATCTTGGGCCCTTGGTGGGGCGAACCTGACTCCCCAAGAACTCGTCGGAGGCGACAAGGCGAGAAGGCAGACATCAGTGATGTTCCTTAGGTTGTTGAAGGATGTTGGCTTCCTGTGGAGGTCCTGAGGGGTCATTGAGGGCACCTGGAACCGTCTTGTGGCCCTCTTGCGGCGTCTTGGAGGCATGGTGGAGGTTATCTTGAGCGATCTTGCGCTATCTAGAACTCTTTTTGAGGCCACCTTGGAGCATCGGATGCCCTCTTGGAGCCATCTTGAGCAAAAAGTGCCCTCTGACGACTCGCGACCCCCCTGTCCAGACCCCTTGGAGGGGAGGGGAAGGGTACCCTTCCTCGAAGGGAATATGGGGTTTTGGAAGAGGGGAGAAAGATCTCGTTTGACCACCTACGCCCAGAGGGCTGGTGGGATTTATCTCGTGGCATTCGCCCATCCCGACACCGTGCCTGTGGTCAGAGTTCTCAGGGCTGCATCTTCGGGCCTCTTCGGGGCGCTCTCAGGGACCTCTTGATCGCCTCTTGGGGGCCTCCTGGCAGCCTCTTGGCAGCCTCTGGTGGCCTCTTGGTGGCCTCTTGGGGCCTCCTGGGGGCACTCGGGGCCGAGGGCTCGAAATGTCTGTTCGGCCCCCCCCCCTGGGCCCGGGGCCGTCTCTGGGCCCTCTTGGGCGCCTCTTGGGCATGGGCCGTCTTCGGGCCCTCTTGGGGGCCGCCTGGGGCCGTCTTGTGGGCGACCTTGGAGGCCTCGTGGGCCATCTTGGAGCGTCGGAGAGCCGACAAGGCATGAGGGCCAAAAAGAGAAGGCCAGACACTTTCAATAACCTAATGTCAGTTCATGGTGTGTGCCTCTTGGGGCCCTCTTGGGACGCCTCTTGGAACACTTTTGGGACGTCTTCGGGGCCTCTTGGGCCGTGTTGAGGCCGTCTTTGGCGTATTGGGGCACTCCTGGGCCTTCTCGGGCATCTTCGGTCCTCTTGGGCGCTTTCTGGCGGGCCCACGTTTGGCTGGGTGCATGCAGCTTTGTCTTCCTCCATTCTCGCCACCTTCGCCGTCGCGCACAGGGCGCCCCTCGGGAGGGCCTCTGGGGGCCCCGAGCGGCCCTCGGCGGCTTCTGGTGGGCCTGGTCTGGGGAGGTGCTGTGCCAGGCGGCGTCCGTGTGGCGGCCGAGGCTCTCCGCTGGCAGTGGCCTTTCCCGCCGGTGCGGGAGTCGAGTGCCCCCTACGAGGGGTCGAGGTTTTCTTTCAATCAGGGGCAACGGTAGGGGGAAATGAGCTCAGGAGGGGATAGATCGACCCCCAACCGCCCATGGACCGCCGATGGAGGCCAGGTAGCCCACGCCGCGCAGCATTTCATGGTTTCGCGATCGGATCAGTCGGCGATGCATCGCCGATTCCAGGCCGATGCTCCCCCCCCTGTCGCCATTCCCTGCGGGCAGCACTTATATCCATATCCAGAGCGTCTTGGACTTTTTGGGAAGAGGTGCTGCAACGCCGAGGCGCACCGGATATGGATAACATCAAGCCTCTGGGGCCCACACTTTTGTCCATGTCCAGTGCGTCTACGGCTTCTGGGGAAGAGAGCCCAAGACTCCAAGACGCACTGGATGTGGATATACTCAAGATGTTGTAATAAAAGGGAGGGGGTCTGGACCCTCCAAGACAAGCCATTTCAGACCTCCCCCGTGGGAGAACCCTCCAAAACTTCGTTCCCAGACCCCCCAGGCCCTCCAAGATAGCCTGGGACCCCCCTCCCTTTATTACGAAATCTGGAGTAACTATTGCCCGCATTCCCCATTCGTTCCTCCTCATTTTGGGCGTTGGGGGTCTTCGGCTCCCGCGGTGCCTCGCCTTTTTGCCCCCCTGGGAGAGGCCCCTCGTGGCTATATGGCTGGGCTCCCCTCTTTTTTTGTTCCTTCCTCCATCGGCCGTGGGGCGTCAGCGCCCCGCCACGGCTCGCCTGCGCCTGCGCGCGGGCCCCTGCGCACAAGGGCTGGGCAGGCCCCATTCCCGAAGGCCTGACCCACAGGAAAACCGGCCTCGGTGCCCCCTCACCGGGCCTCTCAGGCGTCGCGGGCGCGACCCTCCACGACCTCGCCGCCCATCGCAACGCCCGTGTAGGGGTTGCGCCCATCCAGCAATCGGTCTCGGCGTCGGCGCCGCGCCTGGTCCCTCGGGGCGTTGGTGAGCTTGCCTGTGCAGCCATCCAGGGCCCGTCGAGCTCGGCACCTGTAGAACGCCCCGCACACGCGGCACACCACGAAGTCGCCGGCCGTCACCCAGCGGTGCTCGCGCGTAGGGGCGGGGGGCGGCCGCGGCACGTCGGGGCGCCCAGGGCGGGGCGAGCCTTCGCCGCCGTCACCGCCGCCGTCGCCCTCAGCGCCCCGCCTCGGAGGCGGCGGATCGCCCTGCCGGCGCCGCCGCGCCTGCCGATTTGCTCGCGCGGCCTCCACCTCGGCCGCAGGTCTGCACTCCTCGCGGTCCAGCTTCCGCTTGCCCGCCTGCGTGCGACAGTGGGCCTTGCAGTGGCGGCAACGCCACGTCGTCCCGTGGAGGACCAACTCGTGACCACGATGGACTGGCGGGCGACGTCCAGCATTCCCCTGATGCCGCGGCCCCCTCCTCTCGGCCACTGCTGTGGCGACCCCCGCCAACAGCACGCGAAAACTTGCCACGTACTCCATAACCCGCTTGATCTGCCTGCTGCGGGATTTGGCCAGGGCCACCGCCCACTCGGGGACCGGGCACTGGGCTCCTTGCTTCGCCAGCTTGTCCACCGCATCGTTCATGCGGTAGCGCTCCTGGTCCACCTCGTCCATCTTCGCCCGATGCTTCTGGGACGTGTGGGACTTGACCTTCACCACCGCCAGACTGACGCCAGGGCTGAGGTCGCGCTCGTCCAGCAGGTCCCAGATCCAGGTCCATAGGTGCGCACAGAGGGCCGCGCTGTTGCAGCAGCGGGCACGCCCCGACAACAGCCCGTCAACGGCCGCCTGGTTGTCTAAGAGCACCTCGGTCACCAAACCCGCGTGCTGCAGCATCATTGCCAACGCCCACAGCTCCGCGACGAGGCTGCTCGTTGCCGGTACGGGGAGGGGGCCCCACAGGCCTTGTGCGAGCTCGCCCCGCTCGAACATCACGACCGTCCAACCGCCCGCGCGAAGGCGGACCCAGCTCGGATTGACCACCGAGCCATCTGTAGCCACTCTCCCGTCGAATATCCCTGGGCCGTCCATGCGCCCCCAGTGCTGCTCGGCGGCTGGCAGCTTCAGGTGACACCGATAGTTGGGTCGGCCATGAGTCCACGTGTCCACAGCCATTCGTCCCTCGCGGAGGCGCCGAGGTGCACCGCGTCGCGGAAGTTGGCGGGGTCATTGTGGTCTGACAGCTTCGCCCTCGCCTCCTGGCACTGGGGCGCCGCGCACCGCCAGTAGAGGTGCATGTTGCTGCCTTCCTCCTGCCCGCACAGAGGGCAGTCTGGGCTCTCCGCCCTGCCCTGTGCGAAGAGGGCCCGCTGCTCCGGGTAACCGCCCAGCGTTGCCACCTTCGCCGCATTGCGGTGGTGTTTGGTCCAACCCTTCGCCAATTGCTTCTTCTGCAACTGGCGGAGCGGCGCCAGCCAAGGCCTCGGTCTGAGCACCTCGCGCCCGCTGCTCGCCACCCAGGTGTCGAGCTTGACGCCGCTCAGGGTCTCCTTAGCCCGCGCCGCCACCTCCTTCGGACACTCGCGCAACATGTCGATGACTCGGGCGCCTTGTGCGTCTGGCAACAGCTCGGGCCGTCGCAGGCCCACGGCCGCCGAGTTGCCTGGCGGCGCGGAGGCCCCTGGCGCGCTGCCGTCGTCCCCGGGGCCCCCCGGATTCGTGTCGATGGTGTGGTAGTCTACCATCCGCCAGCCCAGCTCGCGGCACGTGAGAATGGTGGCCGCCGCAGGCCCTCGCGCGGCCGCCCACCGCTCCTTGCTGGTGGTATCGCCCTGCAGGTACGGGGCCAGACGTCGTTGCTGCCGTGCCCACGCGCGCTGCAGGCCCCCGTGCATGCTCTTGTGGTCCCAGCACTCTTTCGCCCAAGCCAAGAGTGGGGCTGTTGCCGCCGTCTCGGCCACGAGGTCGCCCTCCAGCGCCGCGTTGATCGTGGCCGAACGGAAAGGGCCTGACCCCGCCCTGGATGCCTTGAGCTTGGCCGCCAGGAAGTGCTGGATGTGCGGTGGGGTGCCTTCGCACGTAGCCCCGTAGGCCAAGGAGGGGGCGACCCCCTGGGACACGAACCTGCGCACCTTGATGCCCCTTCGCCGGAGCCACGCGGCCTTCCTCCACCTGTGCCTCGCGGTTGCCAGCCGCTTCTGCCTGGTGGGCCTGTTCTTGCGATTCTGCTGCGGGTTGTAGTCAATGCCCAGCCATCGCTCCACGCTGCCCTCCTTGATGCCGAGCTCCAGCATCGGTGCCTGCAGCAGGCCCCTGGCCTCTTCGGTGCTGGCGACGAAGACGCACTTGCCCTCGGGACCCCGCGCTAGCGGAAGCCCCAAAGCCTGCTCCAGGAGCACGATGAGGAAGCGCACAGCTCGCATCACCTCACGCCTGAGGTGCGGTGCGGAGTGCATCAACCGCAGCGTGATGTCGTCCACGTACAGGATGAGCTGCGCTAAGGGGCACCCCTTAAGTACCAGGCCCAAGGCCCAGAACATGAACACCTTCAGCAATTTATTCGAATACTTCGATCCTGCCGGCAAGCCAACCAAGGTGGTGACGGCGTCCGCCACTGCTCCCTCCCGTCGCAGGTAGCGCGGGGCCGAAAAGGCCTCCAGCGCGAGGCCGACGAGGTCGAGAGGGCACCGCATGATGATGGCAAAGACCCACAGCAGGTTGAGGGACACGTGCTCGTACGCCTTCGTGACGTCCAGCATGACGCTGGTCGAGCAGAAGCCGCTATCCCCCCAGGCCTCGTCGTCCAGCATGACGCGCCAGACCGCCTGCTCGCTGCTCTTCCCTGGGGCCGCCCAGTCGTAGTCCCTGCTGTTCTCCGCCTCCCAAGCCTCGAGGATGTGGGCGCGGCTGCCCTCCCAGATGCGGACGGGCGTGGGCAACAGGCAGATCGGCCTTCCCCCCCCGTCCGTCTTGCCCAAGATGAAGATCACCAAGAGCCGAATGCTTGTGGGCCATGCGCGCAGCTGCTCGCACCACTCCAACATCACGCCCAAGTACTCGAGCAGGTCGTCGCTAAGCCAGCTCCAGTGTCTCGGGTGCCAGCCGATGACGCCCGCGCGCTCCTTGTAAGCCCTGCAGATCTTGCGCAGCCGCGCGGTGTCGATGGTGCCGAGGCTGCGGCCCTGGCCCACCCAGAGCTTGGCGTACGGGCCCTGCTCCGCCTGCCACACGGCACCCCACTCCTTTGCCTCCTGCTCGACCGCCTGCTGGGGGTGAGCAGGGAGAGCAGCCTTGCTGACGGAGCCCCGCGGTGGGAGCCACGCAGCACGCCACGCGCAGACCTTGTGCAGCAGGCCCGCCGAGCCCGGATATTTCTCGTCGAGCTTCTCACGGAACTTGCGGCTCCTATCCCTCATGACGGCCACCTCCCACTCCTGCGCACGTGCCTTCGCCGCTTCCTTGATGCCCTCCAACACGCGGATGACGTCCACCGTGAGGGGCACCTCCAATAGGCCCATAATCAATGCCTTGGTGGCCAATCCCGTCCATGAGTGCCCAATGCTGCACAGACGCCTGCAACCTGACGACCGCCGCCTGGTACTGCTTGACCTGGACGCTGCCGTCTACCTCATCGCCGCTCCGTCTTTCCAGCACTGGCGGGGACCCGGCAGGCAGGCCCCGCCTCACGACGTGGATGGCCGCCACGCCAATCCACGAGAGCTCCACCGACAGCCACCGCCATGCCCATGCGGGGCCTCTGCTGTTGACCGCGCTCGGGCACTTTGGAAGGAGCTCCTTCTCAACCAAGCGTGGCGCCTGCCCTCGACCCTTATACTTCGAGGCCCGGAGGTCCGACATGCCGAAAATGGTCTGGAGCTGGCTGTCGGCGGTGTCGCAGAAGACCGACCACGCTGCGTCCAGGCCGTCTTTCGACGGCGTGCCCGTGAGCGGCGGGACAGGTGGGTGCTGCACCTCTGCCTGCTCCTCCTTCGTGCCTGGTCGCTTGAGGGGCCACTGCCATGGACTGCATCGCGCACGGCCGGTGCGGCCTGAACGGCATCTCCACGTGCGGAGTGACCTCCCCAAAGGCCTGCCCGAGCTTGCAATCTAGCCAGAAAAAGTCGATGGTGCTGTGGTCGCCCTGGCTGTTCTTGCAGGTGCCCTCCGGGTGGGCAGTGGCCTTGATGCAGCCTCGCAGCTCCTGGTTCCATGGGCTGCGCTCCAAGTCATCTGGACGGTTGTTCCAATCACCGCCAACCACCCACGGGATCCGTAGCTGGATGACCCACTCGGCGATGACGTCCAAGATCTGCGCATTCACGGCGGCGTCCAGCTTCATGCACGTCACCATGTAGACGCTGAAGATGGCCATCGCGCCCAGGCCCGGGATGGTGACAACGGCCATCGCCAATCTGCCCTCGCCTCCTGGAGGGCTGATGTCCCAGCTCGTCTGGCCTGGCGCGAAGGACGCGGTCAAGCATGTGGGCAGGGCGATGGACACGCCCGCGCTGCTGCCGCCCTCCGTGGGCTTGGCCGGGGCGCCCAGCACGCGCCAGCCCTTGGCTGCTATCCCAGCAGCGGCGTCAGCAAACCATGGCGCCGCCTTGCCATGCTCTTGACCCAACACGATGGGCAGTCGGCCCTCCTGCACTGCCTTCGCGCCCTGGTCCTGGAGGAAATCCTCCAGGCGCCGCCACGACAGGCTGCTGTTGTGCAGGTGCAGCTGGAGCAGGCTCTGCCCATGGGCCCTGGATCGGAATCTGCACCTGCGGGGCGGAGGACCTCCTGAGCTAATACCCGCCCGTCGTGTGAGCGCCTGCTGCGGCCGGGGCGGCGCCGGCGGCAGCGGCAGGCGGCTGGCCCTCCTTCCGCTGTCGCTTCCAGGCGGCGTAAGCCTGCAAGCCGGCGAGCTGCTCCTTCCGCTTGATGCGCTCGGCCTCGTCCACGTCGGCACTGTTGGCCCACTCCTGCTGCATGTTGATGTCGTCCGCCTCTGGATGTGGAACGGGGACGCGCTCGCTTCCGGCACCTTCGCTGCCTGCGCCGACGGGGCCAACATGGCCAGCAGGCTGACCGCCGTTACCATCATCCGCAGGACCAGCGGGAGCCGCAGCTGCTGCTCCAGCTTGCTGGCGCAACTGCGCCCGCAGACCGTCGATGTCGGCCTGGACGCGCTGCTGCACCTCCGCGGAGCCCTGCATGCTCGCGAGCACGGTGGGCAGCTGGTCGAGGAATTGCGTAAGATCGGCCACCACTTGCGGTCCGAAGTGGGGGGCGGCGACGGCGGGGCCACCCTCGTCCTGAACCTCCTTGGCGAGCTTGACCCGCTCCGCCTGGAAGGAGGTGCGCTGGGCCTCGCACTGCTCCAGCTCCTCCTGCCGCTTCGCGATCTGCTGGTCGAAGTCCTCCAACGCCTTCTGACGCTGCTCCTTGAGCTTGACAAGCTCCGTCTCCTGGATCGCCGCGATCCGCTTGCTGACCCCCGTGATCTTGTCGTCCAGCTGCTGTAGCTGGATGCCCTTTGGACGGGCGGCCCGCTTAGCAGCCAGGTGCTGCTCCCTCTTGGCCTTGGCGCCGGCGAGGGCCTTCGCGAGGTCCTCGTTGTCGCCGTCGGCCTTGAGGAGGCCCTCCAATGAACGGATCTGAGCATCAACGGCCGCCAACACCGTGTCGCCCTTGCCGTCCTTGTTGTCCTTGCCGGTGCTGTGCTGCCGGGCGGCCGCGTCCAGCCATCCTCCGAGCGTGGGCGGCTGGGGCGGTGCCCAATAGCTGGGCCAGCCGCCTGCCTCCCCCGGAGCGGGCCAAGACCAGGGAGCCCACGGCGGAGGCGGGGGGACCCTGTCGCCCTTGCCGCCCGCCTTGCCGCTTCCCTCCCTGCCGCTCCTGCCGCCCTTGCCCTGGTTCTCCCGGTCCAGCTTGCGCCTCTTGGCCTCCCGCTCCAGCCGCGCACGCACTCCAGGAGACGCCCAGGTGCCACAGGTCGTGCACTGCAGGCGCGCCCCGCACAAGCCCTTGGTGAAGCAGACTCCGCATGACCACGTGCCCGCCTCCCCGTCACCTCCGGCCTGTGCGCGCCTGTTTGGATTGCCCATGGCAGCCGCGCCGCCCTGCGCCGCGACACCTGAACACCGAACGCTTGTTCACAAGATTTTGGCTCTGCCAAGCACCTCCCTTGGTGCTCAGAGCGCCTCGTCGAGACTTGCACCCAACGGGAGGGTGCCATGGCCTTGAGCCAAAATGGCTACGGGGCTGGGCTCCCCTCGGAGCCGTGGCCAGGGCCACGCCCTCGAGGGACAGGTCCTCGGAGGCTTCCGGCTCTCCGCCTCTCCTCCTCCCTCCTCCTGCCTCCTCCTCCTCCTCCTCCTCCTCCCTCCTCCTCCTCCTCCCTCCTCCTCCTCCTCCCTCCTCCCCCTCCTTCTCCTCCTCCCCTCCTCCCTCCTCCTCCTCCTCCTCTTCTTCCTCCTCCTCCTCCTCCTCCTCCTCCTCCTCCTCCTCCTCCTCCTCCTCCTCCTCCTCCTCCTCCTCCTCCTCCTCCTCCTCCTCCTCCTCGCGAGGATCGAGACCAGCAGCAGCCATACGCGAAACGCGCGTGGGCAAGACAGTTGGCGAGCGTGCGAGCAACGCCAAACGCCTCAGCTGGCAGACAGGAGGCGCCAAGCGCGCGACAAGACAGACAGCGACGACGCGCCAAATGCGAAAACACGCCACAAACACAATATTTCGGCGTTACGCGCGGATTTCTCGGATCCGCACTTGGGCCACCCCCGGCGGCGGCGCGCTCCGCGCGCATAGATCCAAGAAGCCCACGCGGAGCGCCAAAAGTTATTTTTGTTGTGCTTCTTCTTCTGTTTCTTCTTCTTCTTCTTCTAGTTCAGGTCCCCCTTGTGACCATCGGCGTCCGTGGCGGCCGGGGCCCTCCGCCCGCCATGGCTGTGGAGGACGATCAATGGAGAGAAAGCGCGTTGCCGAAGTAGCTCCGGATGCCTAGAACACGTAACACAAACAAACATGCTCCAAGCATGCCATGGCACCAAACAAACATGTTCCAAACAAACAACATGTTGTTCCAAACATGTTCCAAACAAATTCCAAACAAACAACATGTTCCAAACATGTTCAAAACAGAACATGTTGTTCAGAACACCTCTCCGACATCTCACACACAGGCGAAGCTCAATGATAGCACCGCTAGGGCGCCCATTGCCGTGGCAGCCGCGGAGGGACGCGGAGGCCCCGTGCCTCGGCCAGCAGCCCCCGGCCGCAAGGGCCGGCACGCCCGCGCGGCCGAAGGCGAGGCCACGTGCCCAGCGCCGGCGACGGGGCCCAGCACCCGCCACGTGCCCCGCCGGCGGCGCAGCCGTCGGGGGCGGCAAAGGGTCAGAGCCCCGAATCATCCGGGGCAACTCGGGTCAGGGCCAGCTCGGGTTCGCTTTTCGGGAACCCAAACCCGAGTTACCCCGGGCCCGAGTTGCCCCGGAGACCTCGGGCGCCCAAACTAGGGGGGGGGGGGATATCATGGCGGGGGCCATGATATTTCCCCAGATTTCATGGCGCCTCTTCTTATTTCACAACGTCCCTGCCCCCCCCGCGGGGCCGCGCACAGGCCGCCGGTCATGATTTGCGCCCCCCCCTCTTGGACACCCCCCTCGTGGCCGCTGCCGAAGCCGCCTGCCGACGCGGCCGGTCGGAGAGGCAGGAGAGACGCCCCGACCCCCAGGATAGGGGAACGAAGAATGACACAAACATAAAAACTCGGCGAACGATGAATGACATAAACAGAAAAACTCGGGGAACGAAGAGTGGCATGAACACAAACAGCCCCTTCCGTAGGGGAGCGCAGAGTGGCATAAACAGAAAAACTCGGAGGTCCGCGGGGATTTCTCGGATCCGCGCTGGACCCCCCTCCCGGGCGCGCGGAGCGCGCCAGGGGCGGCGCCGGAGGCGCCGCCAGGGGCGTCCAGCGCGGATCCGAGAAATCCGCGCGGACCTCCGAGTTGTTATGTTTATGTCATTCTTCGTTCCCCTACAGAAAGGGCTTTTACGTACGGTGGGGCCGCGCATCAAGAAGCCAGATGATTTTAGTCAGGGTGTCCTGGGCTTCATCGCTCCTCGCGCTGCGCGGTGGCTTCCCGCGGCCGTTGAAGAAGCTGCTGCGTTCAGGGTGCTCCGGGTCTCCCCTCAGCTGCAACTCGCGCGCGGGTTCAGGGTTGGGTTTCTTGCGAGGGTTTCTTGCGGCCGCGCCCGCACTGTACTGAGCGGCCCTGGGCGTTTATTAAGCAGCCTTGCCCTGTTCGTGTCCTGTCTCGGGTGCGTCTGCGAAGCGGCTTCGCCTGTCGGGACGCTTCATCATGAGGGTGGTTGTTCTCTTCCTGGAAAGCAGAATCTAGGAAGGAGAGTGGGAGAGAAAGACGAAGCTGTGAGGGAGGGAGGAGAGAAAGAGGACGAGCACCTGGAGTCCCCCCAGCGTGATGCACCGCGGCAGCGGCAGCGGCAGCCGCGGCCGCGCCAGTCGCGGGGCGGGCAGTGGCGCCCCGTGCTGTGGCTAAGCTCACCCCCGGCGGGGTCTCGGAGGAGGACAGCCACACAGATCCATCTCGCTCCTCCCCCCAATCCCCCAGCAAGGAGGAGAACATTCAGGGAGGGAGAGGGGGAGAGAGGATGGGGGAGGTGGATGTGTAGAAACGTTCGATTCCCAGGGTCAGCGGCCCGACAGCGCGACGATTCCCGTTACCCGCCCTCCGGCCTGCCCCTCCGTAATCACACTTGGCAGTCGGCTCGGCACCCGGCACGGCGGCCACGGTGCCGATCCGGGGCTCGCTTGCAGCGGCTCCCGCTGCTTCCAGGGAGCCCTCGGTGGCGTCGCTTTGCATGTCGGGGCCACGTCTACGAGCCCAGCTTGGGACCTCGAGTCTCCTCCCATCTTTCCCCCTTGGGCGTCGGAGTGTGGCTCATTGCTCGTCGGGGGATGTCTCGAGTCTCGGCGGAGTTTCAGCAGCATACGCAGGGCAACCGTGTTGCAGTGCTGTCTGCTGCGCGTGCGGTGGCGTTGGCGCTGATCGAAGACATCTGATTGCGCTGCACTGCTGTGGAGACCAGGCATTCCTTCACGTGCGCGCCATCGCAGAAAGCGAGCTTCGAGCCTCCAGCGCGGCTGCCAACCCAGACCTCTGACGTCGTGTTGGTTGTTGTGTTTTCGGCGCTTGCGCGTTTTAGATCATGTCAGTTATAGCTTCGTCACCATGATGCTGCAGATTTCGGGGGGCTGGTCGTGGTGAAGGTGGCGTGTGCAGCCCATCGTCCTGCCGCTGACGCAGTGAGGCGATCTCATTACCGTACGTCTACCGTGTTCGACCTTGTGTGATATGTTTCAAGCAGCACTGGTAGGTATCAGCCATCAGCATCGGCGTCACGCATACGTTCTGCAGCGACCACCCATCGAAGGCTGTTCCATCACGTCGGGCACACTTGTCTCACTCCGAGAAATGCTAACAGCAGCAGCCCAGACATTCCCCATGCCGATGTCTTGCTTCTGCTGCATCACCGCCACAACAGCCGCCGTCTTGCGTCGCCCGCCACAGCCGCGGCCACCCTCCTTGTTGCCGCCCGCCCCTTGAAGGCTGAGGCCAAGAAGGACGAGGGTGGAGGACTCGATGCATTGGTGAACACGGTGCCCCCGCTCCGCAGCCTTGCGGCTCGTTGGATGAGGTTGTAGCAGCACCGATGTTGAAAGACTGGAGGTCACGTGCTTCCGTTGTTTGCTACAGCAGGGCCCCGTGACGGATCATGGGATCACCAATGTGAGTTACTAGCACATTTCCCAGTGCAGCCTCTGCCAAGCCTGGAGACAAGCCCGAGGCCAGAACGGGCATGCTGGAGGTGTTTTATCGGCGGCCCATTCGAAAATCATGGACAGGGCATGTTGTCCGAGCCTCCGGAAGATGTCACTAGGCTTCCCAGGGGATCTGATCGATTTGGTAGTGTGCACTTGTATTTTCAGGAGGGGGAAAAACACACAGACACAATTAATCGGCGATTCCCAGAAACTATGGGAAAATATGGGAAGTGGGGGGGAAGACAGAAACCCAGAAAATATGGGAAAATATGGGGGATATCTTTATTTGTGTGTATTTATTTGTGTGCTCCAGTTCCCCTTCATATTTTGAGAACTCATGGCGTGCGTGGAGCGCTGCAGGAGGGCAGGCCCGACCTTGCTCCGTGCGTGAGCCACGCTTGCCCGCAGGAAATCTCACAGCAGTAAGGGCCACGACGCCAAGAGTACACGCCGGTCGCTGAAAGTAGGTATTTTTGGATTCCCAGATCTCCAATCTACTTCAAGCGCCTTCCTACTTCAAGAATCGACACACTTTTGCTGTGTTTTGTTGTTCTCTGGGAGGACCTGGACCCAATCCACTTTATCCGCCTTCCTACTTCCTGTTGTTACCTACTTCTTCCGACCGACGTGTAGCTGCTAAATCTCTGGAGCGAACGCCAACCCATGCGGCGAATTTGGCATAGTTTCTGGTTGTAAGATGTTCGAGCATGGAAGGAGTCATGCAGGAGGAGTGGCCCAGAACGGTTGGCCAGGGTTGGCCGGAGGGGTTGCCCAGGAGGGCAGGGTTACCCAGGGTCGGCCAGGTGGGGCTGGGTTTGGCCGGAGGGGTGGCCGAGATAGTTCTTCAATGGTACCGTAGCCTCTCTGAGTTCTTGTTGGATTGACATGTCTGTGTTATTATTCCCCGTTGCTGTCGCTCGCCCGCTCTGGTAGAGTCAACGCGTGCTATGTTCCAGTGTCTACGTCCACCTGACATGCATGCTATTACGCTGCCATGCCGACCTATACATGAAGCACATTCCTTTCTTGCTATGGTAACCTGATGCGTTCCTCGACCAAGAAGAGGCCCCTTTCGAACCTGCTGTTGCTCATAAGCTGTGTACTCATTGATCTCTCCTGTTGGGAAGCTGCGTGTTAATCATTATCCGGATTCCTCGGAGGCGTCTCGATCCAGAGGTCCTTGGAGGTCCCCCGAAAGACCTCTAGAAAATCGCAGTTTAGAAGCCTGTCCACATGTATTTCAGTTTTACATATGGCTAG